CACGCACGCACGCACGCACGCACGCATATATACAGCGTATTCAAAAAGTCTTGGACCCCTTAAATATTTTGAAAAGTATTTATCAAAAAAATGTTTTATACAAAAGTTTAAGTTTTTATTTAAGGACTTTTTGAACACCCTGTGTGTATATACAGGGTGCTTGGAAAGTAATGATAAATTTTTTGCATAGGAGCAGAATGGACTAAACTGAGAAGAAAAATCCTCTACCATTTTACGATTCTAGCAATAGTTAAAAAGATATTTATTGCTCAAAATTGTCGAAAATTGGTTTTCAATAATTTTTTACTCAAATACTATCAACTTTACTGCAAGAGACAAAAATTATTTATTTTCTTCTCATAGAAATCTAAGAATTTTTTTAGAATTTTTTATCAACTTTTTCTTATTTTTACCAACATAAAAAAATACGATATTAAAAAATTCTGAAAAAATTCTCAGAACTTTATGAGGAGAAAATAAAAAATTTTTGTCTCTTAGTTTTTCTATATATATATCTTATGTCCCCCTCGAAGTCACAAAACATTTTTCTCTAAAATGCACTGTTCAAAAGAAATTTGAGGTCATAAAAAATGGGACACTCTGTATATATGCTTCTTAATATTACAAAGAGAATTTATTAAGTAAAATTGTAAAAGATTACTTTATTATTTTGCAGGAACACATATTCAACATATTGAATGCATTAGAGAAGGATGGGAAAATATTCCAAAATATAATAAAAAATATGATTATCTCTTTAGACATTTGGCCAAGTACTTACTCAAATATGTTCATATAGAAAACAAGAGTGAAAATCTTCTTTGATGTTGTGAAAGAAAATGTATCCACCTCTATATAATGTTCAGAATTAAAAAGGATATTGATTAAAAGAATATCATCTATACATTTGAACATTAATATCTGTACAGTATTTATTCAGTAAGTTTTCTTTGCAATATATTAAGAAGAATATATATATTTTATGACATACTTCAAATATATACAATATACATATATATATTACATTTATACATAATATAAAATTAAAAAATATAAATTTGCATTAACTTGGAATATTTGTTTATAGAAACCAATACATAACTTTGCAGAAATACTTATTTATAAAATAGTCTTGAAATCCATGAATATTCGTTAAATTATTATTTATTAATTAAATAAATGCATACTTTATAACACACACACACACACACACACACACACACACACACACACACACACACACACACA